CACGAGGAAGAAGCAAATTCGACAAAGCGGGAAATCTGCTCTTCAGGACGCGACTATGGCGCGGACCGTGGCGCTTACTTATTTTCGTCCTCCTTCCTACCTTCGTCCACCTCTCTTGTCCACCTCCACCTCCGTTTTTCTACGCGGTCGACCCTCTTGATCTTCGGTGGAGGAGGGATCCTCTTGCCTTCTCTTCTCTTTCATTAAATACACCGACCCCCGGCGAGATTCAATTTTACTCGGCGGATTGCTTTTTGTTGTACCGTCGTCTGCTTCGGTAACCGGATCCGGATCCTTCTCTACCCTTCTCCACTTCTCTCTTTCTCTCTCTACTCTCTCTCTCTTTTCTTCTTCTTTCTTCTTCTATTTCTTCTTCTCCTTTCCATTTTTTTCTTGCTCTCTTCCTCTCTCTTCCTCTCTCTCCCTCCCTCTCTCTCTCTCTTTCTCTCTCTTTTCTTTTTCTTTCTTCTTCTTCTTCCCATTTCTTTTTTGCTCTCTCCCTTTCTCTCTTTCTTTCTTTCACTGCTGTCCTTTGCCGTAGAACCGTTCTCTATATGCCGCGTAAACGCATACATTTTCCGACGCGAGCAATATCCAGTCGCATCCTCCGGTGCACACAACGACTTGGAACGTATATACACCAAATTCCAGGGTGAAATTTACGCGGTCGCACATTTCCTTTTGATTTGAGAGGGAATCCTGTAGGCCGGCGCGAGCGTATATTCGGAACACGAAGCGCGCTTTCATTTATGCACGTTAAAGCAATATCATTTGTATATTCCACGGAGCGACAAATCGTTAGTCACAAAAGCGCAAGAAGAATTAAATTCAATTTTAAAGTGCGCTTTGTTCGTCCCATTCCTCTTTTGGAACGCGACACCCTCTCTCTCTTTCTCTCTCTTTCTCTGCCTCTCTCCCTCCCTCTCTCTCATCTCCTTTTACAAATAAGATATAGAACTATCTTCTCCTAAAACGGGGAGTAAATCTCTTCGACTTCAGAAAGAGATACAACTCCACCGCGCTGCGGCTCCCGTTCATTTCGCGCGCAACGTTTATTTACCAAACAGCTGTGTGCACGCGCGAACTTCGTAATAGTTGTGCAAAATCTGCATGAAGCATCGGCGAGCTACTGTGCGTGGCAAGGGGATGACGAAAATCGGAGCTATTTGCCAGATTGCATTCATCGCTACTGTGCGGATGTGTTTTTTCAGAAAACACACGTTTTCGAGGTCGTACGAAGTTTGCGGAGTCGAGTGAACCGCCTGTGAAGTACCCTTCGTATACGCTTACAAGCACCCTTGTCGGAAGTGGCACGGAAATTACGTTTGTAACTTCGCTTTCTCTCACTCTCCCTCCCCCTCCCCTCTCTCTCTCTCTCTCTCTCTCTCTCTCTCTCGCTCGCTCGCGCGTCCGTTATAACATTTCCATTTCCACTCGTTATGTAAACTACGCATGTATATATAATTTCATTATCAAAATATTATTACTTAAACGACCGCGAGCACTATCTGCATGATATTTATAATTCGACGGTATTTATTCAGCGGAGGCCCCGAAGACGACGACGAGCGTGTGTTTCGAGCCGCCATTACCGCAAAATAAATTAATACCACGAAATTGTAATCAACGTTATGCCCGTAGACCGGCCTGTTTATATAAAGTGAGCGCGTTAAACGTTCCAAATTATTATACATTAAAATGCGGCGGAATATTCGAGCGGCTGCTCGATCACGCTCCGTGTCCGTCCAAATTTCACATAAGGTAAGTTAACAGTTTTGATTGCTGCGTAATTCACTTAGAACGCACAATTATATACACACGCGTATATGTATAAACACTTGACATCGCGACGCCAAAGTTATCGGGATCGATCAGTCCGTCGGCATAAATCGCGCGCGGATAAATTGAGTTTGCGCGCGACGCGAAATGAACGCTCGCTTCTGTTTTAATCGCGACCACGTCGAAACTGTCTCGCCGTAACGAAGGTATTCAGTCGCGTTCGCGAACGTGCTAATTAAATCTGAGATTACGTAAACGAAATAATTATCAGCAGACAGCAACGGCGCCAAAATGGGTATAGAGGGAACAAACGCGCTTTAACGTGAAAGGCCTGTGCATCACAGGATACGAGCTTGCGAGGAGCGTGTGTGTTGCAAAGCGCGAATGGCATCAACCCTTTGGATATGATCCTCATAACAGATCCTCTGCTATACAATCCACTGCAGAGAATGATGCCGCGACTGAAAATGGCATTACACGCAAATTCGCGAAACTTTCGCAAACGAAATGGTAACTCTGAGCGTTGCTCGCGACACAGACTGCCTCTGTGTTAACAGAAAAATGCTTCTATATTTTAAAACGTGTTATAGTCAAGGCAAGATTTAATTCGTCTTCCACCATTATGAGACGCCGGAAATCAGATGTTCCAAAATCATTTGCCTTTCGATCGATTTGTGCGAGGTGACTGTTCATAAATCTCCGCTTAAAATTTTACAAACGAGATATGTCTCGAACTTCGTGCGTGTCATGATAAAAATTTCCGATATTCTCTGTTCCGGTCTCTAAACTATTCTGACATTTTAACGTCTGCAATTCATAATTTTAACATCTCAACATCTGTATAATACATGATTCTAACATTCTAACATCTAATTCATAATTCTAACATTCTGACATCTGTAATTCCAACACTCTAACGTTTGCAATTCATAATTCTCAACACTCTACACCTCTAATTCATAATTTTAACTCTCTAACATACATAATTCACAATTCTAATATTTTAACATCTGTAATACGTAATCCTAACATTTTAACATCATAACTCTAACATCTATTCTAATGCATTGCAACGAGACATATCGCATCTCCTAGTCGTACACATGAACACATTTCACGATGAGGTCATACACAATAAGAACGAGAACGCGCTCGGCGCGAAAAACCGGAAGGAGTCGCGTTTGTTTCACGTTCACACATCGATTTTTCGTCGAGATACGGACATTTAAATTTTACAATGCACGTGTGGCGTGCGGTCTCTTGCCGGCAATCGGTGGTTCTTTGTTGCCGTTTGGCGACGCGCGCGCGATGCATTGTAGTACGTTCACGCGTCGGACTTCTCGGCGGCGCACTCGATTCAAAGGAGCGACGTGCAACATTGTAGACGGTCCCCGTCAAAGGATTCGCCGCTCGTCGATATCCTCGCGTGGAGATGGAATAAATCGAATTTAAAAACTAAGACTGTCCCACTTTCGAGGAGAGGATCATCGTCTCTCCAAGATTTTTCAATTATTACACAATGTGGAAAGGTATTATAATTTAGTAAGATTTGAAAAGGCACATTAAGAAGCAAGCATGGATATGTTTAGTGTTATTAAATACTAATATTACTTTTTAATATGATTGTAGGAGGATAAAATTGTCCAGTATATTATTAAACGCACGTATCGAAATTTTTCTTCGATTATCGTGCGCGGAGAATCAACCTTCCATACTTAGACCGATATCCTTGAGTCCCAATATATATATTTTTTTATTAAAATCCCAAACCCCATTAAACCGATGACTCAAATAGATTCATTATATATATTGCGAAAAAACTGCCTCCGTCAGGACTCGAACCTGGAACCTCCCCACTTTCCGGGCGGGACACGCCTTTCCATTCGGCCACCGAGGCTTCGACAGTAATCTCGCAACACAATATTTATAAATTCTCTAAGATGTGAGTTGAGAGAGAAAGAACGAAAAAGTCGATCTCGTAAGAGATATTGTTACGAGAGAGAGATAGCATATTCTTCCTGCCAATGCTTAAGAAACCGAAATAATATAAAGCTCCTCGAATAGATTAACTAACAGTAAGATTTGAAAAGGCACATATTTTTTCGCAACATATATAATGAATCTATTTGAGTCATTGGTTTAATGGAGTTTGGGATTTTAATAAAAAAATATATATATAAAAATTGGGACTCAAGGATCGATCTAAGTATGGAAGGTTGATTCTCCGCGCACGATAATCGAAGAAAAATTTCGATACGTGCGTTTAACATACTGGACAATTTTATCCTCCCACAATCATATTAATATTAAAAAGTAATATTAATATTTAATAGCACTAAGACATATCCGTGCTTGCTCCTTATGTGCCTTTTCAAATCTTACTGTTAGTTAATCTATTCGAGGAGCTTTCTATTATTTCGGTTTATAATTTAGTATTTCTTTCGTATAATATACATGATTTCGTTGTATCCTTCGACTGAGTCGAGGATAATTGAGAAGTACCAGAGATTGCAAAATTATTATAAAAAGTCGAAAAACAGTGAAATTGTTACGAATTAATAAGAACATTATTAATTCATGCGCAATCGTGCAAACAACGTCACAATTAAATATATCAGTTAATTGCAGTTGGATAATAAATTCTAAATCTAAGGGAATCGAGTAAGCGTCGTTTAGGATTTCACCCGGGATCGAGAAGAAATTGCAATTTTCATCGCGCCCGTAGAGCGCCGCTAAACGGAAGAGTTAAATAATTTACGCATTAACGTTTTCATATTTTAAGTGAGACAAACGGCGAGCGCGCAGTCATGATATTTTCAGGGACGCTGAATAAAACAAGCGGAAGAAGAAAAGGCGTTCCATAACGAAAAAAGAACGGAGGAGAAAAAGGGAGAGAAAAGGAGTGGAGAGAGAGAGAGAAAGAGAGGTGGAAAAGGATAGAGATATCTAGTCCGGATCTAGTTCTCCGGTTAATACGCGACTGCCACGAAAATCGCGGATTTTTAGACCGCGCGAGATTCTCATGCGCGAGAATAATAAAATAAGCGGCGTATGACTTTTTCACGTGCGCGCATAGTAAAGCGAGATTAACCTCTTTTCGACGTTTTTCAAAATTAGCATAGTCGGCCGCTGCCGACTCTAACCGTGCGGCACACTCACAACATCAAGGGTGCGCGCACGCGCGCGCGACGAGTCACTTCCGACTGGATATTCACACGCACCTTTCAGGCAAATTTTGTTCCTCTTGAAAACCAAGACAGTGTCGTTGTACTTAGTGCCAGGCGGCGCGGTGACATTCAATCTCAGCGCCAGAGGAATTTCGGCGCTAACGACGCCCGAGCATGGCAATCTGATCCTGAACACTTGTAGGGTGACCGGAACCTCACCCCTAGCGGACACGTTCACCCTCGGCGGCAGCAACGCCATCATTCCAGAAGACGGTCCACCTGGCACGCCCATAACCACGTCATAATCCAGCTCCATGGAGTACGATAACTGAAAGAGCAAAAGAGACGCATTTTTCGCAACACTTCGCCGTTTGATGGACAGGACTACGACATGTCGGGAGATAGGTATGCGAACATTTTCGCCGCAACGTAAACCGATATCGGAATGTTCGACCGACAGTACGTTCGGAGATGGGAACCGGAAACAACGCTTGTTTCGTGTGGAGAAGAGAGTTTGGTTGAGTTAATGTGACAATAAGCAAATTTTTTTGGTTGAAGGAAACACACACACAGAATCCCTGCTTCTCGGGTATCATTTGATTCATAAGAACCAGAAATTCTGTTCCCCTCGACCAAAATACGTCTGGTCCGTTCATTGCGACGTTAGTTCAACCAAACTTTTTTCTCCGTACGTTGGTCTGTTAGAAAATATCCGCTTTAAAGTTGTCTTGAAGCCTTCTCTGTTGTGCGAGTCCTTGCACTGATAAGAATTAACTGCAAATATATCTCACGTACACATTATGACCGCGAATCGCAAACATTGTTTCGTATCGAGAACATGGTCTCTCTCCAGAGGAAGAAATCTTTTAAGAAACGTTATCTACACTCATACTTCACCGTAAACTTCTTTCTCCCACACTCTCCCGCGAACCGGCACTCCGTTCGGAAACGTATTCCGGTTATCGTCCACCGGACGATATGCCGGCATGTAATAAAAATAGCGCGACGACCCGTAACTCATGGAAACGCGAGATTTGCGGTCCCTTCACGCGGTCGCATACAATTGCGCACATTAACGTTGCAGATATACGAGCACACACGCGCTCTCCCACACACACACGTGCGCGTCACCACCAAAGCAGAGGGCATGCGATATTTCACGTGAAATCCCGCGCGTCGGTGGTCTATTTGGTATTTACTGCCGCCTATCTCGCAACTTTTAAGCTCGCGTTCGCGCGCCACGGGCGCCGCGGCACACAAGAGACCTCGCCTCAGATCAGACGGACGCGCGCGATCCCGGCAAAGCACGACAGCGAGACCACCCCCGCGCTCTGTCACTCGAGATTGGCCACCGAAGACGGCGAGGGGTGGAAGGTGTACGCGACAGAATGGCAGCGGCGAGTAGTGTGCTCAGGCACGCCACAAGTTTTACGAGGTGGCATAAATAACCTGGTTAGTGCTTCGTGATGCGGTGTCAACGGAAAGGCGACTCCACCCTCTCCGCGCGAGCACCGTCGGCTCTCCGGTAATCGTTGTAATCGTCGCGCCGGGGAGTCGCGGTGGCGTGACACCTGCCTATCGTACCCCCATTGCCAACCGTGAGAGAGAGAGAGAGAGAGAGAGAGAGAGAAGGAGGGAGAGAGAAAACTCGCGCGTGGTATTTATTATTTTATTATTATATTTTATAATATTAATATATTATTATTAAATCTTTTTTAACCAGTTTAGACCAGTTTAACCAGAACGCGTTTAGTTTACTCATTGTTACGTTGGAAACAGAATTTCTAGAAAATCTCATTGTATCTTTCACAAGGAAACAAAATTTCTAGTCCCTAGAAGCAAATTTGATTCATAAGAATCAGAAATTATATCTTCTTCAAATAGAACGCGTTTAGTACATTTATTACATTTAGAAACAGAATTTCTGGAAAATCTTCTCGTCTTTCACAAGGAAACAAAATATCTAGTTCCTAGAATCAAATTTGACTCATGAGAACTAGAAATTATATCTTCTTCAACTAGAACGCGTTTAGTTCATTTATTGTTACATTTGGAAACAAAATTTCTGGAAAATCTTATATCATTCACAAGGAAACAAAATATCTAGTTCCAAGAACCAAATTTGATTCATAAGAACCAGAAATTATATCTTCTTCAACTAGAACGCGTTTAGTTTATTTATTGTTACATTTGGAAAGAAAATTTCTGGAAAATCTTCTCATATCTTTCACAAGGAAACAAAATATCTAGTTCCTAGAATCAAATTTGATTCATGAAAACCAGAAATTATATCTTCTTCAACTAGAACGCGTTTAGTTCATTTATTACATTTGGAAACAGAATTTCTGGAAAATCTTCTCGTATCTTTCACAAGGAAACAAAATATCTAGTTCCTGGAATCAAATTTGACTTATGAGAACTAGAAATTATATCTTCTTCAACTAGAACGCGTTTAGTTCATTTATTGTTACATTTGGAAAGAAAATTTCTGGAAAATCTTCTCATATCTTTCACAAGGAAACAAAATATCTAGTTCCTAGAATCAAATTTGATTCATGAAAACCAGAAATTATATCTTCTTCAACTAGAACGCGTTTAGTTCATTTATTTGGAAACAAAATTTCTGGAATATCTTCTCGTATCTTTCACAAGGAAACAAAATATCTAATTTCTAGAACCAAATTTGATTCGTAAAAACCAGAAATTGTATTTCTTTCCACTGCACTTGGTTCATTTATTGTTACATTTAGGAGCAAAATTTATGAAAAATATCGCGTGTCTTTCAGGAGGAAACAGAATTTCTGGTTCTTAGAATCAGACGTGATTGATAAGAACTAGAAACACCTGGATATTTATTATTTTTCCCCGCGTAAGCCACCCCCACGATCAAGCTCGAGCGCGTGCGACGCGCCACCGCCAGCGAGACGAATGGACATGGACCGTGCACGCGTGTCACACGGCACTCCCTGCGGACCTTGGGGCGCGCATGATACCGGACGGGGTCCTGATATCAGGACCTCGAACAGCTCTTAGATCATTCCGCGTGTCGGCCGCTTGGGCCTTTCCCTTTAATTACAGAAAGTGGCTCAGTTTACGGCGGACGATTTATTTTGATTTCGAGCATTGCACACACATTGCATCACGCGAGCAGTTAAGGCTCGTTTACAATACGCGAGGAGTAAGCTTGGCGTAGAGGAGTTTGAAGATAAAAATAATTAATTTGTCTCTCACTATTAGGAGAAACACTTCCGAACGCAAGGGAGAGTATAGGGAGGCGTGAGCGAAATAAATTACTTTTATTTCATGCTCCAAGCTACGCCACGCTTACTCCGCAAAGTATTGCAGACGAGCCTTTATTAAGGACCATCTATAGTGGCCGTGGAAGCGTGGAAGAATTGAGCAGTATCAAAAACACTGAGCAATCGCAACTGATTATTCTGGACGCTAAGTATAATCATCGAATGTAATTGGTTGACTTGTTTATCACTTAATTCTCATTTCTTATGCTTCCAGGACCATTGTAAATGGGTCTTTATTCACGGCTGTGCTGTGTGCACGGATACAATGGTCGACACGCCGCGATAGATGGCCGGCAGTGCGGATTATGATTTTAAAGAACCTCTCTCTCGGAGTGGAGTTTATTATTGGCGAGCTCGTGTATATAACTGACCGTTCGCGCATTAACATTTTTAGTTGGCGGTCTCTCTCGGCGGAGAAAAAATCTCATTACCGTAAATCAACGTGACTTTCCTTCACGTGGAATCGGCGGCGTTATATCGGAACGGCTCGTTTTATAAGGATTCCATTCGGCGAAAGTTTCGCGCGCGAAAGCCGAGTCGGAAGCAAATAAAGCTCCCTTTCTCACAGACACACACATACACACTCTCTTTTTCTTTGTTTCTCTTTCTCTCTCTTTCTCTCTCTCTTTCTCCCTCGTTCTCATTTTCTGTCTTTCTGTCTCTCGGCAGGGAAGACGAATGACGAATGGCATTTCCGATTTTCTTCGGCTGGCACGCGAGCTTTTTCATACTGAATGCGTTCGGCTGGCATCGGTCCTAATTGACGGTAACTTAATGACGATGCGGTTGAATCGAGAACGCGCTGTCGAGGGTGGTTTCCACGTCGACGGGACGCCGTTCGCCCCGTAATCGCTTCGAGGGTGGCGATGACGTGACATCTATCCGTCGCATTCGAGCTGCCGAGGATAAAGCGTGTTTTCGCCGTTCCACCTACGCGACGGGTAGTAATTGACAGAAGTGCCTCGTTCTCTCGTCGAAAAGCCACCCTTTTCTTTCATTCGCGCCGCCCTTTTCTCTTGCGATAAATCAACTGCGAGCGCGGGCTAAACGCGTTCACGTCTCTCGAAATTGCTCTCGAACTCATTCGCCGGAAATCGGCCGATATCTCTAAACAGATCTCAATTAATTTGTAGTACCGCGCAAACGCACTTTGTAACGCGAGACGGCAGGGGCGGTTGCCCGAAAATAAAATTGAACGAAACGTCGACGTTACTTGATCCAACAAATCACAGACGTGTAATGGTGTTTATCTGAACTGCACAAAAACTCGTATATTTTTTCAACATGACGCGAAATATGCAACAAACTTCCTTTATAAAATCGCAACGTGTATATTTTTTTATAAATCCAGATGTAGTCTTTCATGACTATCACAACGTAAGATAATCGATGATTAGGACTCTACAAATTTTGTAATTACATTTATGAGGCAAATATACCGTATATTAGATTAATTATTAAATTTACATTATATTCAATAATATAAATTTTTTGTTATATTGACGCAACAACAAACTTGCTAAAAATTGCACTCAGATTTTCGTATTACATTTTACATAACATATTTTTTCGAATAGCTTTCAATCATTTTTTTATATTTATTTTTACTTTGTCATTCTATATGATAAATATAAAAACTATATCATTTATAAGGGACGCAACTTTTGTAAACCAATGAATAAAGTTGTCAAAGTTACACACACGTGTCTACCTGGGAAATCACGTATATTTTTTCTAAAGAAAAATATCTCAACCCCCATTGAATACTAATTAATCGCGGCTCTCCCCTTTCTCTATCGCCACTCATTAATTACAACGACATAAATACGCGATAAAACCGCGAACCACGAATTGGAGGTTTCGATTCTTCCAGTGCGGCGATCTCCGTGGGAGAGCGCGAGAGGGTGACGCGAGGTGGGGCTCGCGAGTGATTTCCTGCAGCTGCAAGCGTTTGCTTAATATCCAGTCTCGGATTCCCGTAATAGCGTAAAAATGTTTGCCGAACAGTGTCTGCTCTCTTCTCGTACCG